TGTAGGGAATCCCGCGGTGAAAGTGATTTACCGTTTCGACGGAATATCATCCCTGAGAGACGCGCACCGTCTCGAATCCATTTCACTCGGGGCGGACCGAGGCATTTTCGGATAACGATAAAAGTTCCGCTCGTTTCCGTCCTGCTCGTCCTAAGGTCGTCCACCTTAACTTTCGACACCCAGGAAGCCGCGGAATCGCGGAATCCGCAGCGGCCATTTTCGATCCTCGAGGTCGTCGAGTACGATGGACGAGTTTTTCCATGGAAACATAAAATCGGTCGAAACGTTTCGTTACGTTATCGCTAATTTATTTGCACGTGGATCGATGCTGCCTGTCGGAATTTCGTTTTTAACAGCGTTAGCCGTAATCGCGCGTCGGCGATCCTATGAAAGCATTCGATTTTCAAAAGTTGTCGTACGGATCGGCCGACGAGAACGCCGTCACTCGCGACAGAGTATATTTAAAGAGATTTCGGCGAGCTGTCGCGAGCACCGGATCGCTCGAGTAATAGGGGTGCGCGCGGAACTTTGGGTGAAAAAATTTCTTTGACGCGCGGTTCGACACGCGTGGCACGGCTGGCTCGGACATCGAATCAAATTTGTCCAATCCGCGATGAACTTTCGACCCCATGGAATATAATGTTCGCGTCAATTCTCCGCGGCGTAAATGAAGTGGCAACCGGACTTTGTCGTGCAGCCGGAGAAAATAGAGTGCTCCAGGTCCTGGACAACTGCTAACTGGAGTACGAAGTTAATCTCGGACTCGTCAAGCGCACATGATTAGCATATAAATTTGTCAAAATGCTTTGTCTACGCGCGCGTGCTTGCATCCCTCGCGACCCCGTGCCACGACCGTTTTACCGCGTCGTCCCTTCGTTATTTTCTCTTTGCCGATTCGTTACACTCGTATTTCCCGTGAATTGCTCGTCCCATCGGTTACACAGGCGCGCCCGCTCGCGTTCGAAAGTTCGCCTATGAATAGGATCAAGCGGAGCAATAACTAATCTAACGGACCTCTCGACCAAGTGCCCCGGAAATAATGGCTTTGCCCGTTGTTTCGTAATAACCGGACCTTGCGCGTCCTCGGGTACACGGCGCGAGTCCCCTTGGAACCGATATTCGTCCATCATCTTCTATGAAATGCTAATCGCGTTATTACGCGATCACTGAAACGTCCAACTACCTGTTCCGCGTTCGCCCGTCAAACGAACGCGTCAAGGTGATTCGATTACTGGCAGGATACGTTCGATCCTGGCCAGGATAATTCATGATCTTATCACGGACAGGGGCAGCAGCGCCGGTGCTGCGTCCTAGCGGCTACTTAATACCCGGTTACCGATATGTCGGGAATTTCGTTACACCAGGTGGCGTCAGACATCCTCCCGGAACCCTTAAGCCACACGCGGACGCGGGGATTGAATTATTTCACCGCGGCTCCCGCAACCGGCCACAAGCCTAATTACGAATAGAGGTGAGTTTAGAAACTGCTAGACAGCTGGGAGTCCAATTAAATTGTTACTCGTCTCCTCGCTTCCATTACTTCCGCTGCTACCGGCCCAAGATCTCCGAGATCCGGACGATGGAGCGCGTCGATGCGAGAATCATCCAATTCCACCAGCGATCGACCCACGATGAATAGTAAAACAGCGTCCCGGTTCTTCCGACCGTTTCGATTCGATTAATCGCCGAGTGTATATTCGCCAAGGGCACGAAGGAGTAACCGCGTCCGGTTGTCCGGTGAAAAATCGCATGCCGCGGAGCGTAAGACGGCGCGCGTCACGCGAGGACGAGAGGGTAAGAAGGAGTGGAAAAAATCTGGGATTTGCGACACGGAGGAAGACGGAGGATCAGGGCAAGCGGCCAACACGCGGCCGGGGTAGCAAAGGGCGTAGATGGCATCAGTTTCCTCGCCGCGGCGTCTCTATTTAGTCTCGCGCAGGATCTCTAAGTCGGCAGTGTTTGTTTCTCGAGCGGAGAAACGCGGTGGCGCATCGAAATGCCCGATGCCGGTCGTGGACGACGTCTAACACGGCCCGGAATCCCTTGTCGATCGTGACCCGTCGGCCCGATGTCGATCCATCGATCCCGCGTGTTCCGGGCTAAAAGCTTCCCTCGGCCAATCGTCGTCCGAGCGAAACAGAGAGCCACGGCGCGC